CAAAACATGCCTGGTGCCCAGCCCAAACTCACCATTCCAAAAGGTGGGTAAAGTGAGCAGCTCAGATACAGGTGAATCTGACCAATCCAGTACCGAGACGGACAGTACTGTCAAGTCTCAGGAAGAAAAAACTGTCCCTCTAGATCCTCAGGAGCTGGCACAGAAGATTCTGGAGGAGACTCAGAGCCATTTACGGGCTGTGGGTAGTCTTCAGCGGGCAGGGGCAGAAGGTGGGACAGCTGGAGGAACCTCAGCACGGAGCAGCGCCTTCCGCTCTTCTGAAACAAGCGCGTTCAGCCGTCCTAACAGCAGTGCTAGTGGCCGAGCTCAATCGTCCCCAAGACCCAAACCTCCATCTCGTTCCTCTTCACTGCAGAAGATAAGCTCTGGCTACAATAGTCCTGCAGTCTCTGAGTCTTCCCAAAAAGAGGGCAGCCATCCTTCGCCCACTCTGGACAGCCATGCACAGTTCAAATTAAAGTACCCAAGCTCCCCATACAGCGGCCATATCTCTCGTTCCCCGAGTAATGTGTCTCCCAGTTCTGGTCACCAGTCCCCGGCTGGTAGTGCTCCATCCCCTGCCCTGTCCTACTCGTCTACAGGCTCTGCTTGCTCTACATCGGCTGATGCCCCAGACTTGGACCGACTAAGAAGAGGGGTAATTGATGAAAAAGTCCAAGCTATCCACAATCTGAAGACCTTTTGGGCTAATGCTGCAGCCCAGCAACAGCAACATCTAGGTCCTGTCAGAGCCGTCCATGGCGCACCTTCTTCTGCCAGTAGGGACGTACTGAGCCTTCTGAATCTCTCCCCACGCCATTGCTCCCCTAACGATACCCAAGACAGCCTGGAGCTGCGGGAGCTGGGGCTGCAGTCACTAGACAGGGGCAGCAAGAACTCTTCCAATGGACACCACTGCTCCAACCCCAGAAAAGTGGCCCCGTCACCTACTATTTCCACTAGCAGTAGCCCTGGTCCTCGTTCTATCCGACTACCTGCCGGCAATGGATACAAGTTCCTGTCGCCCGGAAGATTTTTCCCTTCCTCTAAATGCTGAGACATTTAAAACGGTCCTATACTTTAATCTCTCATTTACTATCCTGTGTGCTGGAGGAGTAGGGCACTTTTTGAGGACCACTATTGGTCGACCAAGCTTGACTGACAGTGAAAAGGATTTGATTGGTCAGTGAGTGTGATCCTTCAGAGGCACATGAATGCTTTAGAGTGTCTTGTCTTTGTGCCCATAACACTGTAAATGGCAATGAGAAATACTCAACGACCTGATACTGTGTTTGTGTGTAACTGTGTGTCAGGTAGATGTAAATGCCATTTGGTATTTTTTCCTCCAAAACTTTGCTGTTTGTGTGGGCCAAGATGCAACAGCTACAACTGATTTCCTCCATTCTATTTTTTTGTTTTTAAATTTAATGGTTATTGTTATTATTGTTTGTTATTGTTATTAATATTATAATAATTATTATTATGTTTTGTAAATTAATTCCAGTGTTTCACAATCAGTATTAAGCGTTTTTATATTATTAAAAAGTGAACAAACCTGTACCATGTAAAGATGGATAGAGTGGAAAAAAAGATTTAATATTTTTTATTGAAATCAAAAGGGCATTTTGCCTGATTTCTTTGTGAATTGAGTGTCTGCTCTGAAGCATGGATTCTCTTGCTATTCAATGTTAAGTACCATGTATGACTTTTTAGCCCATGATTTTTTGAGATTAAACATGAAAGTTTCATGACAACCATCTGTCATTTATCAGTAAACTGTTTCAATAAAAAAACATCATGTTTGCTTTCTTGTATTCCTAACTTTTATATAGATATATATATATATATCTGAAAAGGAAAAATTACTCTTTGGTTGAGCTGCTCACAATTAATGTTCACACTAATATTATGAGGGGATACAAATAGACCTATTTAGGGCAGTGGTTCTCAACCTTTTTGGTGTTAAGGACTACCAAATTGATACACATCAGGCCATGGATCTGACAAGATTTAGTTCCATAATATACTACAGATAAACAGATTGACAGTGAAGAGTTTGAAACCTATAAACAGAATAGTAATTCCTATACATTCTCTCATTGGGTCTAGGTTGAGAACCACTGGGGAACACAAAAAGTACTTTAATCAGAAGAATCAGAATCACTTTTACTGGCACATAAAAAGAATTTGACTCCAGTTATATGTTGCTCAGACAAACAACAATACCTTTTGTAGACAGTAAAACAATGCAGTGGTGCAGAGTGCAAAGGATGCGGAAAGAAATATTTTTGTGCATGTATTATTACGTACATGAGGTAGGTGGATATGACAGTATATACAATATACACAGCATGCATAGATGCATTTCAGTGATGATATTTGTGTGTTTTAAAAAGAAAACATAGTTTCAACAATGAAAATAAATAATTTAAGCTACAGTTACAGATAGGGTTGCAAAAACAGAACAAAGAATATCACAATAAAAATATTACTAATATTAATATTAGAAGATATAAAACTATAAATGAAAGTATATACACTATGCATTGTTCAAGTAGGACATGGAGTGCAAAATATAAGCAGAAAATTTGACTAAAACTAAAAAACAAACTACTAAACTACTAAAGTGGA